AGCCAGCATTGGTTTGTGCGCCGGCCGTCTCATAAATGTGTGTGCAGCCTGCGCCACGGCATTATCAACCAGGAAAGACGTTCTGGAGGCATGCGCGACGGAGTGCTCGGTCGACCCGTCGGCGGACCCAGGGTCCACGGACTCGGCCATCGAGGAGTCTCGGTCGGTGGGAGGGGGGGTGACGCTGGGCGGGAAGCAGCTTCACGAGTCTCATGCCCTCCGTTTCTGGCCGCGGCACTCACTTTATTTTTGTGCGACTTGCGGCCGCACGGCTACGATCGTCCCGAGAAGGTTATTGTCTCAATGCGAGCCTGCAACACGCAAGGGCTTTCAGAACCTGGCCAGCATAGGCAAGAAGATCTGTCCTAGTTACAGAGGACCCTCAGACGTGGTGAAGGACGCACAGGCGTCGAGGGTTCGCAGGGTGTTCGCCACCTCACACACCTCGCCTGTGGGAGAGATGGTGAGCGTTCTGCCGCAGCGCGGGGAGAAGTCTGACAGCTCGGACTGACGTGGGCGGCCTAGCAGGCACTTTTATGTGCCTGCTAGGCCCGATACGACTGGCTTTTCTTATCTCGTCGCCCTGCTAGTCTGTACACCTTTCGTTGGAGCGGAAGGCGGCGGGTCCTTGATCGCTCTGCCCAGTTGGTCTTTGGCCGCATCTGGAGGGCCCGCCATGGGGGCACTGGCTCAGGGTGCGAGATGGGCCCACACCTGGGGCAGTTCAGGGGCCGTCCAGGCGTCCGCCCTCAGGGTTTGGTACACCTGGGGTTTCCTGGCTGTCGTCCTGGCGTCGCCCTATCGTTTTCTGTTTAAGGCCCGATGGGAGGACCCCAGGGCGTTTTCAGTTTGCATACCCCACATCTGGGGCGAGGCCAGACGTTGTCCTGGCGCTCTCTGCACCAAGGGCGTAGGGCCTCGTCGTCCTTGTGTGGGCGGTCGTTTTTCAGTGTTGCCGAGTATTTTATTCATGCATACCCCACATCTGGGGCGAGGCGTGCGGTCGTCCTGGCGCTCGCTGCACCAGGGATTGCGAGTCTCGTCGTCCTTGTGTGGGCGGTCGTCTTTTCTTTCCAAATTTCTCGTGCTCGTGCGCGTCCGTTGTGTGAGCGCACTCGTGGGCGCTCGGCACGCGTGTCAGGCACCCCGCTCGGGGGGAAGGCGCATGGCACGCTCGTCTGTGGTGATTTCCATCCGAGCACGGGGGCTGTCATTGGACGGCCCCGACCGTGGCTCGTATCGTGGCGTCGCAGGGGCCAGGCTGCCTGGGCCTGCCCCTCTCTTCGCGTGGTTCTTACACTTACAGGTTTTTTGTTACGTGCAGCCGTGGCCCGCTGGAGGGGTCCCCGAGTTGCTGCGTTTTGTCGTGTGTCTCGGAAGCGCTCCGCCTCGTAGAGGCTCGCGCTGCGGCTGCCAGCTTTCCGCTCCCCAGCCGCACCCGTGGGCACCGACTGACTGCTGTTGCGGACCTCAAAGGAGGCAGCCTGTGGCGGCAGTCCCTTACAGTTGAGGCGCTTGTTTGCGGGAGCTTGCGCCTTGTTTGCTCATCCCGAGGCCCTGTCAAAAAAAAACTCCTCCCTCCTCCCTCCTCCCTCCTCCCTCCTCCCTCCTCCCTCCTCCCTCCTCCCTCCTCCCCTCCAGTCCCCTTTCTCGGCCAAATTTCACGCACGACTGGAGAAAGAGAGAGAGAGAGAGATGGAAAAAAAGAGAGAGAGAGAGAGAGGACGAGAAGGCAACATACATCCGCCGATCCGGCGTGTGAGTCTTCTCGGCCGCCAGACGGCCCCTGAGGCCCCAAGATCGCCCCAGAGGCCTCCAAGAAGGCCCCATGGCGGCCCCACCGAAGACGGCTCCAAGAGGGTCCCAAGACGGCCCCATGGGCCCCCAAGACGGACAAGAGATGGCCTCCAAGGTGGCCCTGAAGCGCTCCCAGAGTGCTCCCAGGCGGCGCAGCGAGATGCCCTGGACGGCGTCCGACGGCGTTCGACGGGCCAAGAAGGCCCTAAAACAGCCCCCCCAAAAAGTGTCCAATAAGTATTTTGCTCCCACCGTACGTGAGAACCACATCCAAGAAATAATCTCGAGCAGAAAAACATCGGAAAAGTATCGAACGAGTATGGCCTCCCAGGGCCCGCCACGTGAAAACACTCAAGTTTCGGTACTTCCTTGGTACTCGAAACCTCGAAACTCTTTCTGGTCATCAAGGCTAAAGTAGGTTAGAACATCATAATCCAAGAAGCCTTCAAGAGGCTCAAAGACCCCCTCATAGAGGCCTCCTCCCACGACGGCCCCAAGAGGGCGTGGCCTGGGCCACACTGGCCGATTTCCCCCCCTAGATGGGGATGCAGGCGGTTCCTTTCGAGTTTCGAGGGGCACATCCCCAACTGAGGTGGTGGGATGGTGGGGATCGGGACGGAGATGGAACTGGGGAGATGGGGCTCGACGAGACGATGCTGACAGAGAGAGAGAGAGAGAGAGAGAGACAGAGGCTGGCCCGCACCGCCGGCGCGGGCGGCTTCGAGCTCAGCTCCTCCTTCTTCTTGCCGAGCAGCAGGCTGAGCGGATCGCTGACCGCCATCCCAGCCGCGCGCCGTGGGCGCCGCGCGCGCCGCGCACCGCGCGCGGAGGCAGCGGGGCAGGGCCGGGCAGGGGCGCCTCTCCGGGGGCGTGCGCGCGGCGTGTGCGCGGCGTGCCCGCGGCGCGGGAGCGCAGGGCGTGCAGGGCGGCCAGGTCCCCAGGCGCGCGACGTGCAATCCGCACTGATGGTGAAGAGACGCGAGGAGGGTGGTCTGATGCAGCAGGAGCTCGACCACAAGAGACTTTCCACAGGAAGCCCAGCCCCGAGAAAACCCAGGGCGAACACGGATGGTCGGCGTGGGGGCGGCGCGCCTTTTCCGCGGCAAGGCCGTCGAAGCCCAAGACACCCAGGGCACCCTGGAGGCGAGCAGGGTTGGGGGGGCCACGATAGGGGGGACTGGCACAAGGGGTTTGCATCGACCTGGAATCGGCGATACATCGATGAGAGATCGGCGACAGGCCCCCGATGGTGAATCCGCACCTCCCTGGGCAGGTTGGGGTGTCATCGGGCCCCTGTCGGCGATCAATGGGCGATTAGGGGTCGACGCATCCCCCCCCCTGCGCCTATCCGCCTGTCCCCCCCTGTCGTTGCCCCCGAAGGGTGCCTCTTGGCATGGGCCTCCACTCCTCCCCCTCGCCTTCCCTCCTCCCCCTCCCCCCTCCTCCCCTCCTCCTCCTCCCTCCTCCCCTCCTCCTCCTCCTCCCCCTCCCCCCCTCCTCCCCCTCCCCCCCCCATCCTCCCCTCCTCCCCCTCCTCCACTCCTCCCCCCTTCTCCTCCTCCTCGGGGGTCTTCTGACCCGGATCAATCCAGACCCGGGTCAGCAGGAAACCAAAAAACTGCAATGCAGGAAAAAAACCTGTAACGCCCCTCACGGGGGTAGAAACCAAGCGTCGTGTTGTCTCCTCCTCCACTCGTGTTCTTGCGCCAGACGTCCACCCCTGAGGCTCTCGGAAGTTTCCACAAGGCTCGCAGGTGGTCAGAAAATTGCCCCGAACATCGAAAACTAAGTTATTCGAGGTGTCGTTGTCGACTCCGTTCCCAGAGCCCCGACGTGGTGTCTGTTCATCGGGTCGGCGCCCTTGTTGTCGTGAAATGATCCTCAGAGGGCCTCTTTGTGACGCTCCCGAGAGAGGGGGAGGGAGGAGGGAGGAGGGAAGGAGGAGGGAGGAGGGAGGAGGACGGATGGGCTCGCGCACGGCGCTATCGGAGCCATCGAGGCTACGGATGAGGTAGGAGGAGGAGGAGGCGGAGGAAGAGGAGGCGGAGGAAGAGGAGAAAGAGGAGGAGAAGGAGGAGGAAGAGGGGGAAAAAGGATTTGAAGCAGGACGGATGAGGAGAAGGATGACGACGACAAGCAGGAGGAGGAGAGGGAATGACGCCCGTCCTGGAGCCTCTTGGTGTCGCCGTGGCTCTCCTAGAGCGTGCTGGGGGTCCTGTGGCCCGTTTGGGGTCTTCTGGGCCTCTTGGGGCCTCTTGGAGCCTCCTGGGCCCTCTGGAGCTCCCTGGGTGTAATTCAAAGTGGGTCCTCGGGGGGGCTCTTGAGATCTCGTGGGCTCTCCCTGGGCCGCCATGGGCCCTCCGAGCCTCCGTGGGCCCTCTCAGAACTCTCTCGCGGGGGCGGAATGACGAAAACGACTTCACGCATGGGGGCCTCTCCGTTGAGAAGGGGGGCGCGGCGCAGAGTGGGTCCTCCTGGGGCCCTCCGGAGGTCTCCTGGGCACGCCCGAGGCCGCCATGGGCCCTCCTGGAGCCTCTGGGGCCCCTAAGAAGCCTCTCGCGGGGGCTGAAAAATGACGACGGCTTCACGGATGGGAGGCTTTCCGTTGAGAAGGGGAGCGCGGTGAAAGGTAATAAAGTGACGACAGTGTCGCGTTTGAGGCCCCAAATCGTCTGTGGGCACCTCGGGCGCGAACCCCGCTCCCGCATAGTACGGCGCGATTTCCCCTCCCCCCGCTGTCCCGCCGGACCCCGGGAGGGTGATTTTTGTTGTTTTCGCTTATAAGAAACACTTCCCCCCCCCCTCTCGACGGTGACGGAGGGCAGGCGGCGGGGGTGGGCGTGTGGCGGGGTGGCGGGTTGGCTGGGGTTGCGGGGTGGCTGGTTGGGCTGGTTGAGCCGGTTGAGTTGTTTGGGTGGCTGGTTGGTTGGGTTGGCTGGTTGGGCTGGCTAGGGCAATTGGTTTCGATTCGCTGCGTGGAGCTCCCCATATGTGCACCTATTCGCATGGACCTGTCCGCCGTGAGAGTCTAGGCGCAAGAGTTTTCGAAAATATGCGGGCTTGAGTTGTGACGGTCTGGTCATAAATCTAACTTCGAACGGATTGGAGCGTGAATGAGTCTCGGTAGTACGAGCGCGTCTCTCCGCATGAGCCTGGAGCCTCCTGGGGCCTCCAGAAACCTCCTGGGCCTTCCTTGGGCCTCCAAGAGCCTCTTGGGGCCTCCTGGGGCCTCTTGGGGCTTCGAGTGGAGGCCTCCTGGAGCCTCCTGGAGACTCCTGGGACCTCCTAGGGAGGATTCGTGCCCCAGGAGAAGCCCGATCTATAGGAACCGACGTAAACAAAACATTGCAGATTGGAGCCACAGGAGAAGGACAGTCTATATGAGCACACTTAAAACACCAAGGGCTCGTGCCCCAACATATATATATATATATATATATATATATATATAGAAACATACGTATAACATCAAAGAATCATGCTCCAGGTGAGGCCCAATCTATAGGAGCATACGTAAAATACATGGGATTGGAGCCACTCCTGTTGCCTTCTGAGGCCTCCTGCTCCTGGGGCCTCTCGGGGCCTTCTGTTGCCTGGGCCTCCTGGCGCTTCCTATGGCCTCCTGGGGCCTCCTGTGGCTTCCTGAGGCCTTCTGGAGCTTCCTGGGGCCTCCTGGAGCCTCTTGGGACATCATGTGGCCTATTGAATCGTCCTGTGGCCTCCTAATCCCTCCTGGGACCTCATGTGGCCTCCTGGGGCCTCCTGAAGCCTGCTGGAGCCTCCTGTGGCATCCTTGGGAGAATATGTGCCCACGAGTCTGGCCACCAAAACAGGCAAGCCGATCGAGGCATCCTCAAAATCTGGCCGCCCTGGGGGGCGAAAATGAGCGCCTCGCTCGAGACATCCTCCAAATCTGGTCCGAAAGCGGAGGATGTTGGGGATCAAAACAGGCAAACCGCCAGAGACATCCCCGCCATTTGGGCGCGAACGGAGGCCGTGAGATACCCCTGGCGGCCCCTCCTTAGGAGGCGCCTCGCACGAGAGATCCTCAAAAGCTGCTCCGAAAACGGAGGATGCCGGGGACCAAGACAAGCAAACCGCTCGAGACGTGCCTGCCATTTTGGCGCGATCGGAGGCCGTGAGATACCCCCTGGCGCCCCCCCTTAGGAAAGCGAAAACCAGCAAACCGCTAGAGACATCCTCATCATCTGCTCATCGTCATCATCATCATCATCATCATCATCATCATCATCATCATCATCATCATCATCATCATCATCATCATCATCATCATCATCATCATCAGCAGCAGCATCAGCATCAGCATCAGCATCAGCATCAGCATCAGCATCAGCATCAGCATCAGCATCATCATCATCAGCAGCAGCATCAGCATCATCATCATCATCATCCATCAGTCACCATCACCGTCATACTCACATCATACTCTCACCATACCATGGTCATCATCATGACACTCATCATCATCGTCTAGTGCAGAGAGGGAGGAGGTGGTATGAGTGGTCCAGCGCGGTCGGAGAATAACAAGATACCCCTCCTTTGGATATGGGGATAAGAAAGCTGCAGCGCAGGGCTTCGCAAACCCAGGTCAGCCAACATGCGCGACCGCCTCGCGGCCACGAGCGGCTCGCTAACCCGGGTCAGCCAGAGGGGGCCTTCGCAGGATCCTGCAGGATCTGGTGCCCTGGCTGACCCCCGTTTGCATTGACCCCCGTCTCTTGGGCCCCGACATCCTCCTCCCCCTCCTCCGGCGACGACGGCGACGACGACGACAACCGCAACGACGTCGACGACCGCAGTCGAAGTCTCTCGGCATGCAGAGGCTCTCGAGGATCAGGAAAAGTGCTCCGAGGTGGCGCCAGGGCGCCGCTCCTTCAGCCACCGGGTATAGCTTCGCTGTGCCGGGGAAGATTGCCCATCCTCACCATCGGCTTCGACTGTATCTTTAGGTCGGGCGTGTCCCCCTACGGGCGAATTTTGGACGAAAAATACAAAATGCAAAAAAACGCCAAAAATATCAAAAATGGTCAAACAATCGTCCCATGACTATTTTTTGACTATTTTTGAATGTTCCCCCTGTTGAGGGAGAGGCCCGACTTAACTGTGCCTCCCGTTCGGAAGAAGTGACGCGGGTAGAGGTATGAATCGGGAGAGCGTCCCGTGAGAAGAGCAGATCGGGGACGCGGCCGCAAGAGCCCCTCGCAAAAAGCCCAGCCCTGAAACCCAGGGTGCACTGGGCGCAACAGTCTCTCAACGACTCCAGAGGTCACTGCGCATCCGTTCGGAGGAAGTGACGCTGATAGAGATATGAATCAGAAGAGCGTCCCGTGAGAAGAGCAGATCGGGGACGCGGCCGTAAGAGCCCCTCGCAAAAAGCCCAGCCCTGAAACCCAGGGTGCACTGGGCGCAACAGTCTCTTAGCGATTCCAGAAGACACTGCGCATCGCTGGAAGTGAAGAAACACAAGGTGCCCTGACGAAAAGCATTCGGTTTCTTGGTGCGCGTCCCCCCCTGCAGATTGGGTGTCCGCCCACCCCCAGTAGAGCGAGGCAAAGGGAAGAGCACTCGACGCTTGAGATAGGAAGGCGCAGAAAGTATCTTGGAATGTGGGAATCCGAGAATTCCTGCTCGCAACGACGGGTGGGTAAGGGTACAGGGCCCTTGGACGCCCAGGTCGAAGCCAGAAATGGAGGCCCGTGGCCCGAGGGTAAGGACTAGACGGGCCGGGAGGCGAGGTTTGCAAGAGCACCCTTGGAAGGGCAATCCTCCGGACCCAGATCTCCGACGAGGGCACCCTTGGAAGGGCACCCTTGCAGGGGTACTGCGGCTTGAATGTGCCCCAAATATGTCCGACGATCGGATTGGCTCAATCCGGGCACGGTTCCTTCCGCGCAGTCGCCGCCAGCAATCGCCCGCAGTGCTGCGCGGAAGGAAGGAAATTGAAGGGGCCCTGAGACACACAAATAAGTGCACACAGATAAAGATTCCCCATGTTCCCCAATCAGAGCTTGCCTCAATAGGGGTCCTAGCGGATTCATACGGTTAGGTGAGGTTTGCCGCCGATTTTCGCCGCACGCCCGGGTGCCCGGGTGCCCAGGCGTGCCCGGGGGTGCCCGGTGGTGCCCTATGGCCCTATAGCCTTATAGCCCTATAGCCCAATAGCCCTATAGCCCTACAACTCTATAGCCCTATAGCTCTATAGCCCTATAGCTCAATGGCCCTATAGCCCTATAGCCCTATAGCCCCCTAGCCCTATAGCCCTGATTGGGTTTTTCTCGGGTATCACTTTCCCATATCTTCTGGGTTTCCGTCTTTCCCCCACTTCCCATATTTTCCAATATTTTCCTGGGGGTGGCCGATGAATTGTGTCTGTGTGTTTTTTCTCCACACCCCGGGGGCGGTCTCAACACCCCTGGAGGAGGAGGAGGAATGGGAGGAGGAGGAGGAGGGGGAGGAGGAGGAGGAGGAGGAAGAGGAGGACGAGGAGGAGGAAGGGGAGGAGGAGGAGGAGGAGGAGGAGGAGGAGGAGGAGGAGGAGGAGGAGGAGGAGGGGCCATTCGTAGGTGCCATGTGTGGGTGCCGATTCATTGTGTTCGTGTGTTTCTTTCCCTCCCAAGAGAGATTGCCGACGCCGCGCGCGTGACGAGCGCAACAGGCACCGACACGGGCCAGGCCGCAGGGGATCAGACCGCCTCGAGCCGAGGCTTCGGGAAAGGTGCTGCTGGGATGCCAGGCGTACCCTTAGGTCGGGCCTGTCCCCCCACAGGGTGATTTTGGACGGAAACTAAACTAAAGGTGATGCTGGGATGCCAGGCGTACCCTTATAGGAAGCTGGGCAAAGGCTGCTAAAACCGTGGCTGCTAAAACGTGCCTCCCAGAAGGAAAAAACAGCTTCCCGGAATGAGGCGCGGCACGCGAAACAGTCAACGGGCTTCTTCCGGGAAGGACGAAGACAACTTCCCAGAGGTCGATTTTAGCAGCCACGGATTTAGCAGCCCTTGCCCGGCTTCCGACCTTAGGTCGGGCCTGTCCCCCGACAGGGGGATTTTGGACGGAAAACAAACAATAGTCAACAAAAAAAAAATACTCCACAGATGTTCAGGAATCGTCCAGAAATCGTCGCCGGACTGTGTTTGTTCCTGCTTTTGAAGGTTCCTCCTGCAGAGGGGCATGCCCGACTTAAGCGTACCCCAAATTTCTGTCGATCGGATGTTTTGTCAGTCTTGGCGCTGCACCGCGACATCGCACCAGCACAAGGGATTCTGGGGAGGGAGGCCTACCCGGCCAGCCCCAACAAGGCCCAAGCAGGAGGACCCCGAGAAGGCCCCCGAGACGTCTCCAGAGCGCCCCAAGACGTGGCCCACCAGGGCGCCCCGAACAGCCCGAGACTGAGGCGGAGACAAGATGGATACAACATCGCGCTGAGATGAGTCGGGAATCTCTGAGAGCTGGCGCCGCGGCTGGCACTGAGCACTCCAGGACGCTCTTGAGAGCGGTCCGGAACGCTCTGGGGCGAAGCATCCTCATCCTAGGGATGCCTGATCACAAAGCCTCGGATGCCGCTTCCGAGGATACCGCGTTCAATTCCGATTGGTTCGGGATCTTCCGAAGCACAACAAAAATCCTCCACGAGACGGGCCAATCAAACACCCTCCGTCGAGGTGTTGTTCAAAACATGTTGGAGGCCTGGGCCTCCTCCTCCTCCTCCTCCTCCTCCTCCTCCTCCTCCTCCTCCTCCCTCTCCCCGGACCTGCCCTGGGAAAGGGATCGGTCCTCGAACCTGGATCCGCGATCCCCGATCCCCAGACATGCGATGACTGTTTTTTTCCAACACGGGGCCCCCGAAGTCGCGACCATTGCCCCAGGGCCAACGTTTGATCGCAAGTCGTTGTTTGAGGGTCCCCGGGCCTGGCGGGAGCCCCCGGAATTCGAAAACGATCGGCAATTTCACGCTGTGATCTTGTGCACGACGCGAACAGGTCTGGGGTCTGTCCTCCCTCCTCCTGGCCATCGCCCACCTGCAGTGGCCCCAGGCACGTGCCGCGGCCTTCCGAGATGTGCAGGAGCGCGCGCGCGCGCTCGCGCGCGGGGGGGCACCGGTGGCCACGGCAAAGATGGCGAGCTGGCCTCCAGGCGCCTCCGGGGAGGATCACGTTCACTGCCCGTGGATGCAATATGAAAA